TTGATTGAGTAAGTAGCAACTGAATTGATTGAAAAAGCAAAATCAAAAAACATTGTTTTCGATATGGATAAAACTGAATTAATTCACTTTTATCCAAATTTCAAAGAAAGAGATACTGAAGTTAAGCTTTTAAATCATTCAGTGTAAGAGATGGGCTACAAGAGTAATTACAAGAGTAGTGTGAAGTACGCACAAAAGATATTAAGAAGGTAGCAATCTCTATTGTTCAAAGCTAATCGCTGATCTCCTAAAATCCACGGATATCAGCGAGCATTATATAGATAATATTGCCATCGCCACGTATCTATCGCCACGTATCTATCGCCACGTATCTATTTCCTAATATAGATATCTCCGTTGCTCCTATTACAATTATCTCCCTTCTTCAAAGGCCTGGTCCCCAAGGCTTCTTATTGCGCGAAGTTCGTAATATGTGCTGTGTGGTTGATATTGTATAAAGTTCGCAGGATAGGACCGAATTAATTGTTCGGGTTAATTCCGAAGCGTTACTGACTCGGGAAAACGTTGTTCCAGTTCCGGTGTTATCGCGGTCCAATCATGATTTAGGCACAACCCCTGAACCCCTTTCCTTTAACCTTTACACCACAAATCGTATCCTAACGAGATCATCACCATCATCACTAACAACGATTTTTTTTATTTAAAAGAATACACCAATTGATCAAGCAAAGTACACTGTATCTTCCCATGCGATTTTTATTGCGACATTCGAAGTTTTGGTTGCGTGGTTGCGTTTTCTATTTTGGGTCGGATTTTGTGTTGTTGCAACTTCTTTGATCGATATTGCAATATTGGTTTTAACCACCAACATCTGTTCTTTTCTTGCTGCTTCTTGCCTCTTCTCTCTTCTTAAAAGGTCCTTGATACTGATTAATGTCGTAATAGAATGTCAGAACCTTTTTGCTTCCGTTGCCGGTTCAGAACCTATGGAGGGTGATATGCTGAATGCCATCGAGAGCATTTGCTTGGGTTGTCTGGAAAGGTTGCAAAACCCTCTAGTATACCCTTGCTTTGTGAACGACGGGCGGACACGCTGTCACGCCTGCCATATATCGAATACTGGGCAAGGATCTTGGTGCGTTACTTGAGTTTATCCGATAACGCTGGCGAAGATGAGGAAGCGGGACGGTCTCGTTGAAGTGTTAGAAAGGAACGCAGCAGCATATTGCTGTCGTTGTATTCGACATTTAACAACGTCTCCCCGCCATCACTGTGAGCCTGCTGAGGGTCGACGCAAGAAATGCAAGCACTGCTCGGTGACGAAGCACGTTTGCGTTCCGGTAAGTCATTGTTCTATATATGTTTTGCAGGATATAAAATAACTCGTGTTTGGTGCCAGCAGACGCCGTTGAGTTGGCCCAGGCAGCTATCAATGCAGCTGAGGATTTAATTGTCGCTGGTGCAGACGCTTCGAACGTTAACGTTTTACAGGGCGCTGTGACAGCTGCAGTTAAGTTCTTCGCAGCGAAGATCCGTGGGGCTCAACGAAATGGTTCCCCTGAGGCCCCGGCTGAAACAGTGATTGGTGAGATCCCGGTGGCTACATCGCCGGTCGCAGCTCCCAAGTCATCGTTGAAACGTCGTGCTTCGCCAGTTGAGGAAATCCGGGGTAATAAGCAGGTCTGCCTTGGTGACAATTCCTCAAATGACACTGGCCAAGCTGAGGCGGATCTGTCTTTTAATCCCTGGGCGGAATAAGTATATCCAGCAGTCATCGTCGCCTTCTTCGTTTTCGTTTACTGACTGGCTCCTGATAGGTTTTATTAAACTGTTCCAAGTACTCCTGGCTGTTCACCAAATTTTCTTCAGGTTCCCAAGAATTATCCGCGTCTGTGCAATCCTTCCATTTAACAAGATATTGGGTTTGACCACGGTACTGACGTTTATCCAATATAGCTTCAACTTCCCATTCCTCCTGCGCGTCTATAATTATCGGTTCTGGCTGTGGGATCTGTCCGTCGCGCGCGTGATACGGTTCGAGAAGGGAAACGTGGAACACGGGATGAATTCCTTTATATTGTGGCGTAAGCTTCAGTTTGTACGCCTGCGTACCGCGTATATCAATTATTTGGAAGGGACCCAAAAATCGATGATCTAGTTTGGGTGAAGGTCGCAAGGTGGATATATTTTTTGCACGCAGCATTACCCAGTCCCCTATCTTAAAGCTTTTTGGTATATGGCGCTGATCATAATACTTTTTCTCCAGCTGCTTTGGCAGCTTCTTAGGCATTCCTCGAATCCTGTTTTCCCGCTTGCTTCATCCGTTCCACTTGGTTCTATCGCCGACTTTGACGCGCCCGTGCTTGGGGGTTCCACGTCTATACGAAGTTCAGTTGGTCGGCCGATCATCGCTTCAGATGGTGTCATTTTTATCGATGCGTGGAAGGCGTTATTATATGCCCATTGCGCCAGGGGAATCCACTCTATCCAGTTATCCTGCTGGTAGCTGCAATATGTGCGAAGATAATGTTCAATCACCTGGTTCAATCGTTCCGTTTGGCCGTCGGTTTGCGGGTGGAAGGCTGTTGATAATTTTCGTCGGACATGGAGTAAGTAACATAATGTTGACCAGAACTTGCTGTTTATTAATGAATCTCGGTCGCTAATAATGTTCGCAGGTAGGCCAAAGTTCTTCGCAAGCTTCCATACAATAATGTCCGCGAGTCCTTCCGCATCTAGCTTTGAGATGTGGGTACAATTATGGCCCATTTAGTGAACAAATCAACAAATACGACAATAGCATTGTAAGTTTGACTTCCCATCTTATTATCTGGTAGGCCTTCAATAAAGTCCATACTGATTGTATGCCATTTCTTATCTGGCACTGGATGTGGTTGTAGCAACCCGTACGGCTTATGCCGCGGTATCTTGACGCGTTGGCAAACATCGCAGGTCCTCACATATTCTGCAATCTCATCGCTCATACCATGCCACGAGTACTTGCGTTTGATCGCTTCGATGGTTTTGTCACGTCCAAAATGGCCACCTTGGGGATCATCGTGGTTCATTTTCATTATTTCATGCCTTACGGCCTTGTCTTGCGGTACGTAGACTTTACCATCTTTCCTGAGCAGGCCATCTTTGTCTACTGCCCAGGTCGAACGATCACCTACGCTAGCGTCACCCACCTCTAGTCTTCTGCGAAGTTCAGACGTGCCAGCGTCCCTATTCTGAACCTGCAGCAAGAGTTCGACAATAGATTCAGCTACCTCTTCGCGATAGGCTGTCTCGGACTCAAATACCTTAACGGCTAGAATCCGTGGCACCAGGGTCCCTAGGTCTAACCCCGTAACGCCGGCGACTTCGTTCTCATCTGCAGGTGCGTTCTTTATCCTGCAGGGTTTGTTGTCATCGATGACTACGGGCCCCTTCGCCCAACAATTTTCTTTAACTTGCAGATTTTTTCGCACCATCTTGACACATTGGTCTAACTTTGTGTTTTCTTTTGTCTTTAGTGACTTAAAGATCCCCTTACGCAGCTTCTCTTGCAGGGTAGGGAGCCCCCGTCAAGGGAGCTGCGTGTTTTATATAATCTGAGTGACGACTTGGTGCATCTGCGGGATTATTTTCCCCAGGATGGTGCTCAATTTCAAAATCGAACGCTGAGAGCATTTGCATCCCACGAATCTGACGCCCATTTAGCTGCTTCGTCGTCATGAAGCGCCGGAGGTTGGCATGGTCAGATAAAACAACTATTGGGTGCCTGCTACCATGTAGGTAGTGGCGCCATTGCCTGAAAGCTTCTACAATCGGCAACATTTCTAAATCATATGTTTGATAATGTCTTTCTGCTTCTGTGAGTTTTCTGGACCAAAACGCGATCGGGTGCCAGTGACCATCATCCATTAATTGCGATATTACTGCGGCGATTGCAACGCCAGATCCGTCCGTTTCTATACGGAGTTTTCGCTGCGGATCAAAATGAACTAACAACGGTGCTTTTGTAAAGCATTCTTTTAACTGCAGTATTGCGTGCTTGCAGTTCTCGTCCAGTTGGACAGGTGCGTTGTTCTTCCCCTTTTTTGTTTCGTATCCTTTTAGCAACTCAGTTAGGGGTGCCGTTATTATCGAGAACTTGTATATGAATCGTCGGTAGAAGTTGACGAATCCTAGGAATGTTTGCAGCTCGTTTATTGTTCGCGGTTCAGGCCAATCTAGGATCGTATCGACGCGGCGTTTTTCGACAGTGATGCCCTGCGTGGTAATCACAAAACCCAGAAATCCAATTTCTGTTGCATGGAACGTACACTTACTAAGTTTCACATATAGTCTCCATCGCCTTAAACGTTCCAGCACATTCTTAACATGGGCGACGTGTTCGTCAAGCGTATTCGAATAGATTACGATATCGTCAAGATAAGCCACGCAATATACGTCCAAAATATCACTGAGGGCTTTGTTGATATAAGATTGGAAAGTCGCAGGGGCGTTGGTTAGCCCAAAGGGTAAAACCAGATACTCAAAGTGTCCGTATCGTGTTCGAAATGCCGTTTTCCATTCATCCCCCGCTCGTATGCGGATTCTATGATACGCGTCCCTAAGATCCAATTGCGTGTATATTTTGGCACCTGCTAACCTATCGAGTATTTCACTTATCAGGGGCAGCGGATACCGATTCTTGACTGTTATTTCGTTCAACCCTCGATAATCTACGCAAAGACGCAGGGTTCCGTCTTTCTTCGGTGCGAATAATACTGGGGCACCGGCTGGGCTCTTGGACGGGCGTATCCAATTCTTCTCTAATGCCTTTTCAATATATTCTCGGAGGACGGAGAGTTCTTGAGGTGACAGGTTATATATCGGTCGGTAAGGTGGTTCCTTGCCAGGTTTGAGATCTATGGCATGATCGTGGGGTGCGTGCTCCGCGTCAGGTATATCTTCTCGGAATACATCAAGATAATCCTTATAATCATCCGGGATATTTGGCTCAGTCGCTGCGTGCGCAGCTCGCAATGGAAAGGAGGCGAATATAATGTTGCTGTTGTCCATTAAAGTTGCAAATTCCTTAGCGGTATCTAGGTGCACGTGGCTGATATTTGACGCTTTCCTATAGGTCCAGCATCTTCGCACCCAGTCAATGTCGGGGTTCGCAGCTTGCAACCATCGGCATACCCAGAATTACATCGTATCCACTGATGTCGGCTTCTTCGAAATGGTGGAATCCCTTCCCGGAGGACATGTTCATCATCGATAATCTTCATTGCAGCTTTTCGTTGTCCCATATGATTTAACCCTATGATTATCAACTGCTTCCACTACTTTCGGTTTACCTTCTGACTTCGAGAAATATTTCAATGCCCAAGCATGGGACACGAAGTTCGCATCCGCGCCAGAATCTACTAACGTCCACGCCATTGACCATCCCACTTCTGTCAACATCCAGGTGTTCATTGCCAATAAGTGTTTATCTCGCAGCCTAGTCGTCTGTATTCCCAATGCAGCAGCTGCTCCTACGATTGGGATTGCTAGTTTTTTGCTTGTCGGACTTGGTTGCGCTTTTCGGGGTATAACATCCAACAATCGTTTGCGACATGCCCCTTCTTATGGCAGTGTGAGCACTCCTTCATCCAATTATATTTATCTTTCTTGGTTTGTTCAGTTAAACTCGTTTGTTCCTCTCGTTTCCTTTTATTCCGGCGGTTGCTAGATTTATCAGAACGACGCTGATTCCCTACGAATATCGCAGGTCTGCCTTTGCGAATGGCGCGTCGTCGCTCCGGCATATTTTCCTCGAGAGTCTGTAGAGTTCGAAGCAACTCTTCGTAGTTCTGGGGTTCTTGATTTCGACGGTCGAGTTCGGTGCGTAGCACCTTCAATGCCTTACTACGCAGGTTATCCATTCTCTGTTCCTCGCTGTATGGGGGTAAGTAATGCTCCCAATCTTCGAGATATTTAGAAAAGTCGCGTATCGATTGCCACTCCTGTTGCTTAGCATCTTGGAATCTTTGGCTCGCCAATCGACGCTGATTCTGCGGGTCGTTAATTTGCATCTCTAGGTGTGATAGCATATCGTCGAATGTTAACGGTGTTGCTCCTCCGCGTCTCTCGTATGCTGATACAAAATTCAACCACTTCTGCTTAACGTGGGCATCAAGGTAGAGTTTGGCGTCGTTTATCTTGCGTTCTTCTTTTCGATAATATCGACGGTGGCGTGCAAAGAGAGTCAACATGCGATCTTTATAGTCCTTAAATTCTAACATATTCTTTCCTCGATAGTAATCCTTAATCTCCAATCTCGGCGGTGTTTCGTTATCATCATCCATATCATCTACGGGTCGATTTTGCGGCGGTTCTGCGGCGATATCCGGGGTTGGTCGGGACTCGATAAAAGTATCTTCGCGAATCTGTGCTTCCAACTCGTTGAGGCGTTGTTGCGCGTGCAGAATAGCTAACTGTTGCTCTCGTTCACGGATTTGATCGTTTAACTGTTGCAATCGGGCATTGTGGTCGTCGGAGGTGGTAGAGGATTCGGGTTGGTTCCCAAGGGATCTTGCGCGTGTTGAAACCATCTTGCGTGTTTTAAGTTGCGTGTTTTAACTAACGTTGCGTGTTTTGTTGTAGGTGTGCGTAACAACGGACCACTCAAATAAGGTTTAGAGCGATTAGAATTGTAAGAGATGGGCTACAAGAGTAATTACAAGAGTAGTGTGAAGTACGCACAAAAGATATTAAGAAGGTAGCAATCTCTATTGTTCAAAGCTAATCGCTGATCTCCTAAAATCCACGGATATCAGCGAGCATTATATAGATAATATTGCCATCGCCACGTATCTATCGCCACGTATCTATCGCCACGTATCTATTTCCTAATATAGATATCTCCGTTGCTCCTATTACATTCAGTTAAACCAAAAAATTCAGTTAAATGGCTTGGTGTCTGGTTAGATTCTCAGTTAAATTTTAAATCTCATGTTCAGATCAAAGTTGCAAGTGCTGAAAGAATCTTAAACAGTATTTTAAGACTTTCAAATACTAAGAGAGGCTTGTCTTTTCAAGCAATGAGACAATTATATATTGCTTGTATAACCTCTGTTTCAGACTTTGCAGTTCAAATATGGTGGAAAAATCAAAAGAGTTTTATAGAGAGGTTTCAAAAGCTTTAAAATTCAGCTTTAAGGAAAATATTGGGGGTATTTAAAACCTCTTCAATTAAAGCCATGGAGATTGAAGCCTCTCTACCACCACCACAAGTGAGATTTGATAAAATCTATATGAATTATGCTTTTAAAATTATGAAGTTATATCCCAATTATTCAATTAGAAAAAGAGTCTCAACTTCTTTTCCAAGTGAATCAACTGCAGCAGATCTGAATTAGGAGTCATATTTTGATTGAAATAAAATAAATTCATCTAATAATTCAACATCTGTGCAAAGAAAAAAAAATACCTTCTCAGTTATTTAGAATTTGCTTCATGATTAAAGACAGTTTCTCTAGTTTAAATGTGGAGAAAGTGGTCTTTGAAAATCTCTCTCCTCGGAAGAAAGATCTTGTCAGTCTTATTGATTTAAATATTAGTCAACTTTCAAAAGAAGTTCAGACTGAACAATATCTAAATCTTCTAAAACAAATGAGAAACAAAGCAATTCTTATATACACTGATGGCTCAAAATGTGAGAAAACAGGCAATCTTAGAGCTGGAATAGCATATTCAGAAAATGAAAAAAACTATATTCTTGCTTCTTGGTAAATTGGAAAAGAGTCAGAAGTTTTTAATGCTGAATTATTTGCAACTTCAAGAGCTTTCAAATTGGTTGAGATGAAGATTGAACAATGGAAAAGATTTGAGCATGTTTGGATATTCTCTGATAGTCAATATAGCGTACGCCGTTCAATTGGTAGGATAATTCATATCTGAGTTTCTCTAATCTAGATATGTATATATGTTTGTATAGGTTTAACGTCCCGGAGAAAACACGGGCAGCGCCCGTGTTTCAGAAGCCTCCCGAAGGGCATAGAGACGTGCTACGCTGGAGAGATTTCTATGTACACAGAGAGAGAAAACAGAATCCAGGTGGCAACTCTTGAGAAGACTCAGCTTATTGCAAAGGATTTTTTTGAGCTGCGCATTCACTTCTGGCCCGACGTATGGCCATTCATGGTGGGGCTATAATGTGGTTCCCTGAGGGAACCGAAACGAAGGGTGGGCGAACGCCCCTATATATATACGTAGTCATCCCGTCAGCGATTCAATCCAGAGGAAGGAGCGATCGCAGTATACGGGAAGAATAGGAGGAATAATAATGCAGGGGCGGAAGGAGCAGGGCGGAAGGGAGATTAGAGGCGGAACGCCACATGACTGAAATATCAAAAATCTTAAAAATATGGAAAACTGTGAAACTTCTATTTATATATGAGTTTTGAACACAGAAATATTCAATGGCTTTGTCTGTGAATTTCAATGAGAGCTTCATTTATTTAAAAATTGTTTCCATCAATAAAGAGACAGTTCTTCAAGGATCACAGCTACTATGACTCTGATAAATTGAGAAGCAAAGTGATGAATGTCAAACATTATAAAGCTGCATGATAACCCTCTATTTTTAATTTAAATGAAGGTTTATAACTCGGTGATTAAAGCTTCTGTATTAGTTATGTGAGGATGAGTGATTATTTCTGACCTTGTTATAATTTGATGAGATGATAGCCTCACTTGAAATATCAACCTGAATAGTACGACACTCTCCATGACTAATATCTTTTTTTTGACAGATACCCACCGCGGTAAGAAAAAAAATAAAAAATGACATGAGTGAGGAATGAACAGAGAGCCTTTTATTTCAATGATAATGACATAAATAACTGTGAGGGGTGATGACAGTGTGAAGAGTGAATAGTAGAAGATAGTATATAGTGTAGTGGAAAATAATAATAATTATAGTAGTAGTATAGTTGAAGTTGTAGTTGTAGTTGTAGCTAATCGCTGAAGAGGAAAAGAAAGAGAAAGAAGATGTGCGAAATACATGCATCCATATATATATACATACAGAAATAGTGGTAGCGAGAGTATAATGGAAAGAGGTAAGAATAGACGAAGATATAAACAAAAATAATATAATAATAAGGAAATAATAAACGAGTGCATTACAATAACATGCAGTTGATAAGTATGACACAACACATGATTGATGAATATAACAGTGAAATATGATAGTGATTAATTTCAGATGAAAGAGTGAGAAAGAAAGAATTTAAAATCTGATTTTTATACTTCTGTATCTTTATTTTTATATTTATTAAAAAATCTTTTAAATTGAATGAACTCTTCTTTTTTAATATACACTTCTTCTGCAGCATATCTGAATTGCAATTGAGTAAATCGGTCACAGCAAGACTCTTGAATAGCCAATTTTAAGAATTTTTCATAAATTATACAAGTTTGATAAAGAAAGGTTCAATGACATTTCATTCAAGTTTTCAAAATTGAAAATGTAAGCTCAATTAAATTGAAATTTGAGGAATAAGAAGAAAGATAATGAATAAGATAATCAACTGTCTGAATTAACTAAATTACTTCATCTCTAATATGAATTGACAATGTTATTCATGATAATAATCATCAGCTGATTGTTGAATGCAGTATCAATAGTTGATAAAAGTTTGTTTTGAAGTCAATTTAAAAAATCTTTTGAATTTCAATAACCTTCTTTAATGCCTATGCAAGGTAGATATTCATCAAGAGTCATGACTACACAAATACTTCAAATCTTTCCCCTTGTTATATCAGTCTTGATTGATGCATCATCATCAATTGAAGAGTAGCTATGAGTTCGCCAGTCAGTCTTCTCATTAAAAATAGACTTATTCAGAAAAACCAGATCATCCGCAGAAAATTGTGTAATATCATTGATATAGACCTGGCGCAGGGCTTTCACTGTGAGACAGAGATATACATTAAATCAGCTTTCAATTCCATTTGTGATAATATAGTAATTTGAATATTATAAACTCATTAGTTTGAACTTCTCATTCATTTCAAAGCCAGTATATCATTTCATTCTGATGGTGTCAATTTTCATAAAGAAGGAATTCAAAAAGTGCTTTCTCATCTGCAAACGACAGTTTACAGACTCGGTCAAGTTGATGATAATGAGATGATTGAATACTTCCATATCACAGTAGATTGCTCTGAAGCTGGAAGACTGTCTGAGGACTAACATGACATTCTCAAGCTATATCATTTGGCTTCCAATTAAGAAGAAGCAATCGCAGCAGTCAGCTTGTTTTGAAAGAGGTAGGCCATGCAAAGAATACAGCTTAGAAAACTCAGAGTGGTACAAGTTCTCTTGCTCCTGTGACACAGCCATCAATGTATATATTGCTAAATTCGGAAATCAGCACAGCTTCATTCAACAGAGCAGGGAGGATAATAAATCACCATCAAAGCATATAAGACTTGTATAGAAATTGAGGCAGAAGATGATGAGAATTGATTTCAATCAATAATTGATTCAATGGTGTTAACGCGTCTGTGTTTTGACTGCCAAGAAATGATAGAATTTTCGAATACGCTAAATTAGTCCATGTTGAGGATTGTGGGCCAAAGTTTACCACCTGCTCGTTCAGACGCCTATTCATCCGCAAAGTGTGGTGCATGTCGCGCGGCTTAGATTGCCGAATGCTGAATGGCATATATCATCAACCTGTATTGTACGTCATCATATCTCTGTCTATTCAGAAGAAAAGCTTTCTCTAATGTATAGCTTTATTGTCTTGATCTAGCATATCAATTCATTTCAAATGTTTCTCTATTTTCCTTTTATTAATTGATTCTTGAAAAGTGAGGGTTCCAACTGTCAAAAGTGTCAGAAATCATGTCAAATTTCAGAACTGTTGGTTATAGTCAGTATGAATGGAGGGAGGCTGATCAACAATGTCTCTGCTCTTTTCAACTGATAATATAAATCCTGATAATGATCACACTCTTCTGTCAATATCTTCACCCTCTTCTCCAGCTTATCTACCTGAGTCTTCCACTCGCAAAACCTTTTAAAGGCAACACTATTTTTTAACTGTTTCTCTCTCACCTTCAGTGATGTAGATTTCCAATTGATATTGATATCTATACCTATAATTTTTCCGCAAATTCTGTTGCTGCCTGTGGCATAGTCGTCAATCCACCCGGTTGTAATGGAGGAAGAAAAATACCTGTGAAATACTGCTGTTGATTGCATTGTGTTGAGAATGAGGACATCTGCGTCTGGTGAAACAAATAGTAGGATGATTGTGGTGTGGTTTCATGAAAGTAATGATCAGCAGCGAGTGTTCTGGAGGTCTGCTTTGAACTGTTTGCATGGGAGGCTACCGGCACCAGAAATTGAGTCAGTTGCTCATGAGTCGGTATCAGATTGTGTTTCATCATTTGCAGTGATCTCAAGCTCAACAGTTTTCCTTGATCTCAACATCTTGAAGAAATTATGACCTCTGAAGGGCTATTGTCTGATTGAATCTAAGTGGCAACCTGTGAGGGCGAGCTGTGGCAGTGCTGAGGCAATTGTGAGGCAGCGGTCGTGGCTTGATATTTTGGCTGCTCAAAATTGGAAAATGTGTCGGTGTTTATAATTGCTTGTAGGTCGATGGGACGCTGCTGCATGTTCAACTGTGAGAGCCTCTTTCCTTCATATGGCTCATGAAAATATCCGAGATCCTTGGGGTGCTGCAACTTTTCATAATCGCAAGTCATACTCAATAGCTGGGGAACATTCGGTTTGATCACCTCTTTCTCGGCCGTCATTGCAACCTTGTTTGCTGTATCTTTGTCTGACCGAGTGGACGTGCAAACCTCTCTCGGCACGCACGGGAGGATGAGGTTTGGGAACTCCAGTTGTGTCATAGAGGCCTCTGCCCATGCCGGCAAAATTGAGAAATTCAAACACATTGCATGAAATTTTGAGTATATACATGGCTGAAGAGACGGTTGGACGATGGGACAAATGGTCCGGAGGGCACCAGGTATTCATTTATATTCTGTCTCATCAAGCCCATCTGGACGAACTAGACGGCCAGGAACGCTACATTAAGAGGTCCCGCGAGTCAATCAAGTCGCTCCAATTCCCCTGCCATACGTGACTGCTATACTTATTCAACCAGGCATGACCTTGGGCGTTGAACTCTGCCACGCGAACCGATTCATCAGGGCATACATATTTCCCGATTGAGGGTGGTCTTGGCGTTGGAGTGTCTGACATTCCTGAATAGGGGTAGTCTTGGCGTTGGAGCGTTAGTTGATCATCTCCCATCCCTGAGCGTGGGTGGTCTGGTGTTTGAGCCGCGGTGCTTGTTATGGCTACTAGAAGTATATAGGATAAGACTGCAATCACTGTTGTTCATCCATCAAGGATATGATCTCGTTCAAAATCAACTCTTCATCCGCTGTCAGATTCCACGATAATTTCTGTTCATCACATTTTAAGCACACAGCAGCGGATATCTGGTATGGATTTTCTCTACGAGAAAAACCCACTGGCGGATGTTGAAACGGCCGATACCCGCAGTTTAGCCAGGGCAATCGATGCAGCGACCTGGTCGGCATTTCTGCAAGTTCCGTTTGCTGAATGGGTTTTGAAAGCAACTGGGCGCAACGCACATGTGGTGGATACGTTCCTTTGGTACCATGAAATGCTCAGCGTTCGGCTGTACTACCGCCTTCGACGGTGTTCAGAGGCGCAGAAGGTCAAAAACGACCTTCTAGAGATAAGCTGAAGCCGGTTGCTTTGTTTGCATTGTCTGCTAACTTCGAGGGAAGATCATCTCCGAAGTAAACCATTTTGCACGCTCGATAATATCGAGCAGCATCGAATCGCTGAACGGACGGCTTGTGACCTGTGATCTGAATATCGGCTTCATCGTTGGACCTCTGCGTGATCTCCCAACCGTTGACCTGACTCCGGACATATTGTACCTCCTGGATATTCGCTTTCAGCGGACTTATCATCGACAATGGGATTACAATGAGATGGCAGAGTTTCGAACTGACACCTCGCTTTTCCGCGGCATTCATCACACACTGCCTGGATTACTAGCCAGTTCAATGACAGAAAACGACCTGAGGTCCTTCCGCGACGATTATGCCCTCATGTTCATGGAGGACAAGGGCATCCACAGGTGGCTCGATGCCTTGGGTCACTCTTGGAATCGTCGATGTGAAGACGTTGCCGACGGTCTTCAAACTGACTTAAAGCACGGTGCTGCGTTAGTCGAACTTGCTGTAGTAAGCCTTAATGCCACTTTCTTGCTCATTGGTTATTTTTTAACTGGCGATCAAAGTGCTTATATGAACGTCGAAACTTTCACGGGTCGACTGCGATTATTCTACGGTTTGAAAGCAAGCTGAGTAGGACGACAAGGATGATTTCCCCTGCAGCTGTCGAGCATCGTCAACTATCGAGCGTATCGCGACGAGTTAAAAAAGGGCCCGGCATTGCCATTTGTGTTTCTTTCTATCAAAGAGCTCCAGTTTGTTGACTTACTGCCTCAGGCGCCACAGACCATCCTCCCTGGAGTACAAAAAGGATCTGCGGGGCGTAATGTGTACAATCGAAGAACTATTCGTGTTTAGGTCTTACATCGCCGACACGAGCAAGGTGACAGACACCATGCAGCGGATTGGAAGGCTTCTCAATATCAATTTATGCTTCTACTTTTAGTATTACATAACACATTGCAACCTAGTCTAGCTTACTCACTCTTCCATCCTTCCTGTAGGTTTCTAGTTGGTCATCCGTGCCGCTCCCTTGTAGTGTATCGTCCAGTTTACAAGTCCCAAATTTAAACAAAGTTTCTGCAGGAGGAGCTACCGGAGAATGAGCTTGGCTACCAATTAGAGTAAGCCATGTAACGCAGCGAAATGAGCGGTGTATGTAAGAGCCCCTCGGGCAACTGGCAGCCTTGCGCAAGGCTGTCAAATGAGAGCAGGCCTCAAAAGTTGATGGCGGGAATTCCTGGTTTTAAAAAGGAAGCTCGCCTGCCGAAAGTCGCTTGCAGGAAAAGCTCCTTTTCTTTCATTCATTTTTTTCTCCTTTTTATTATGTGCTTGATCTGTTTTTTGCCCAAGATGATGGATTCGCCGCCGGTAAGATCCATGTTTCAGGAGGTTTGGAATTTAACACCACCGTAAGTTCGAGATATATAATTGGAGCTAGTTTGACTGATTGGATAGGAGATTGGCCCCACAACCGAGAACGTTGCCAAGGTTGAAATTCACGTGGGCTTCCCCTCATGATTCAGTGCGGTCTCGAGTCCGCAAGGCCCCGCGCCATCATGCGCGGAATCACATCGTCATGGAAACTAAGGTTGAGACAGCATCTGGTGTCACGCTGGACCTCCATCAGGAGGGTGATAAAGTACTTGAGGCTTTTAACTCGGATGGATATGTTATATTTAAGGGCGCTGCCGACACTTATTCCATGGAGGAGGCTATAGAGAACAGGGTGAGAACCTCCACTGCCAAATTCCTTTCCACCTGACTGACAAACTCAGCCCGTTCGTCATTTTCTTGCTGCAACGGGCTCCGACTTCAAATGCATAATGTGCCAACATATTGTCAACTCCGTAATTGAGAAGTCCGCGATCGACCGCTCGCCTCAGTGGGAGAGGCTATCAAAAAAGCCAGAGGTCATTGCAGTGACCTGCTTTCACCTTCTCGGCGACGATAGTTCGTGTTGGGAATGGGAATACGACACAAGCGGCCGGGGTAAAGCGCTTGGGCGAACAAAGGTTGTCAGCGCCCGTGGTAGAGACGTGTATGTGAAAGTCCTCAGATTGAACCCAATGTCGGCTATTAATGCCTACTCTAGGATCATGTGCAATGGTTGGCTAGCGAATCGGTTCCCAAGATCGAAGGGCAAAAAGATAGATTTATATCAACTGAACTACATTCGGACGAGTTACAGTTTGACGTGATAGGCCTTTTGAAGCTTGCCCACTCAACAAACTTTATACAAGGAAAAATTATTAGGATATAGAGACACTGCAAGCATAGGTACAGGAAGGGAACATGGTGCATCTAAAATAGACGGGGCAAGCATTTCTGGCAATGGGATTTAAATAATGAGTTCTAACTACGATTGGCTCCAAGCTTGTTAACCGCTGTCCGGTAGCTTCCCCTCCCCCTCTTGAGACGACAGTATAATCATGTCAAGGTGGCGCACACTGCTCAGAAAAGCAAGTAGATAAGTATGAATCAGCCGAAGAATCAACACCGTAATTAAAGGTAGCATATTGCTGAGCCGCTTGCGGATCGAGCAGTGAACTGATGCGGTAGTCGAAGACGAACCGGCTGGGAGCTGAGCAGGGATTGGTCAAGAAATCGATACTGTAGTCGAAGGTGGATCCACTGGGCCTTATAGATGAAGAGTGAATTGAACTGGGATCAGCCATGGAATCAACACTGTAGTCGAAGATGGGTCCGCTGGGGCCGATATATGAGGAGTGAATTGAACTGGGATCAGCCATGGAATCAACACTGTAGTCGAAGATGGATCCGCTGGGGCCGATATATGAGGAGTGAATTGAACTGGGATCGGCAACGGAATTGACACTGTAATCAAAGGCAGATATTTCGGAGCCGGTCGACGATGGCTGCATTACAGCATGAAAGGGAAGCTCGCCAACTTTGTCCGCCGCAGTCCCTTCAACAACTGGTTGCGGGTCAGGACGCTGTTCTTCAGGTACGCACTGCTGATTTTGCTTCCTAGCAGAATGAACAGTATTTCCGCTCGAGGGCGTTCTCGATAAATCTGATCGTTTCTGGCGTTGGTCCCGACGGTTCCCCGATGTAGCGCCTCTTTCGCAGTCACCAAGTTTCCTCTTCCTTGACGGGCAGCAAGTTGGATGTTGTGCTGATAGTTCGACGTGAGACACTGTCTCTGTTAGTGTGGATGCTATTCGAACGAGCAATGGAACTCACAAGCTCTGCGCAATTGCCTAAAAGCATCAATCTTGGAGCGGCTCAATTCTAAATGATCATTTTTCTCATGCAACCAAAGAGATTTGGCTGAAGCGAACTCTTTTCCACACTGAAAACAGTATCTCCCATCCAGTATCTCTTTGTCAAACCGGTGGCTAAGATCAGTTGTATTTCGGATATGCCGTGGCAGGTTATCGGCAGTCTCAAACTGGTGTTGACATCGTGCAGCAGGGCACTTGTGCAGGTGTGGCCGAGACTCGTGTCAGTCATGTTGCTGATATGGTCGTAGGCGCTGTTTTATATCTCTTAAGCTGCAAATGTGACTGCTGAATGCCTCATCCAAATAATGGCCTGCTTCTAGAGCGCTGATGATGTCCTCTGCAATAATCAATCACATGTATATCAACTCGATGGTTTTGCACAGCTCGCGGCTCTCTCTATGCGAGAGGGTTTCTGGCGAGTTGGCTTGTGAGGTGATGAAGAATTCCAACTCTGTGATAACTGTCAGACACCAAGTCATAAAGAGAGTGATGTTACTTACCCATTCTGCTGGCAAAAATCATCTGTATTTGACGGAAGATGGAGCATGGCATGCTTGCATCCAATCCCCATGGTACGCGCATCATAGCTCCTCACGTGACTACACCGACCTCAGCAAAGTGGGGCTGGCTCTATATACCTTCAGTCCCCCGTCTACACTAATGGTCCCCTTTCCAGACAGACGAGGAGTGACCGTGAAAGACTGCATCATTTTACAGACTCGTAGGCTGCTAGGGACAGTTTCAGGGATCAGATGGATGAGGGTGAATTGAGCAGACTCGGAGAAACAGCCCCTGCCCTCCACGTTTCCCATTGACGTATGGCTAGCGATGTTTACAAAATTTGACTAACTTCCATCAATTATTGAACTACGACAGAAAATCAAACAAGGCAGATCTTGTGACGGATAAAAGGCGAAGTCATGGAGATTCAACGTTAAAACAAGCAGTGTTGCCATCAGAAACAATTACTGACAAAGAAACATGAAAAAGAAACGTGAAGCAGAAAATATCTGTCCCAGTCCACCTCACGAGAACGTCAACTCGGAGCTAACATCTCGCCAGACAAACAGCAGAGGGCCTCCCAGATTGGCCATTAACATCAAACTTTCCATTATACAAGCATAAAACCGAGACGTAAGAATGCGTTGGGTCCGCCAGGCTTCCGCGATGGATCAAGCATTGTGAGCCTGGGAACTCTCCGCAAGATCCTCGAAAGAGTCAGTGGGGTTGGCAATTGCTCGTGCTCTGGCGTAATTCTTCACCTTTCCCCTTTCTTTGCTGGTTTTGGCAACCCAATTCTCCACATCAGCCACTGCGTCGGTAGGCGACTGCTTGCGTTCAAGCAGGAACGATAGCAGGATCTCAGCTGGGCTGAATACCTGGTCTGGAACCTTGGCGGCAAACTCATCTGCAAGTCCCTCAATTGTTTCATCATCGAACTCCTTTCCTGTAGTGCGCTGATCCCCATCTGACCACTTGAAAACCGTGCAGAAAAGACGAGAACTCATTTTGTGATCAGTGAGCTGAAACAAAACCTGTCTATCCACGCGGCCAGGGCGGATGAGTGCGTCATCCAAACGCTCGATGTGATTTGTCATCGTAATCAGCAATCGACCTTCCTGCGAAGACACGCCATCCAGAGCATTAAGAAGCGCGGACAGAGATACATTTCTCTGAGACTTGCTCTTCTGTGAAGAGCCTACCGCGGCCTGGCCAGTGTTTTTCATCGTTTCACTGTCTTCCGTTCGTGCAGTACTAGCAGCATCGATATCTTCTAAGAGAATGACACAATGCGGGGGAAGCTGGGCAAACAAACTGTTTAGGCGGCTGTCGTCGATGCTGGAAAGATTGAGTACATAGATATCTAGCTCAAAACGCCCGGCGACAGATAAGCTGAAACTGGACTTCCCGGTTCCAGGAGGCCCATACAGCAGGAACCCTCTTCAATAGGGAATCCCGCGCCTTGCATACCAGCCCCGAGCTCGCTCGTCCAGGAAATCCTCGATATCTTTCAACAGGGCCGTTTTCTCGCCCTCATCCATGATGACTGTCGAGATGGTCTGATGTCTCTTGCTTCGCCTTCCTCCATTCACATCATGATGCTCAAAGACTGTAGTCTTCACTGATAGTTAAGATACTCAGCTCGGCAATCACTA